GAAATTGAGCGCCTCTCGTAAGAGCAAAATGGAACAGAAAACTAGATTAATAAAAAATGAAATGACGTGGTTTAGAATAGCAATAAATGAAGGTGGTAATTTGCTACTTCAGACTTATAAAAATTTGAATTTTGACAGAAAGTTCATCATAAGAACGGATAACCTTGTAAATCTGTCTAAATGCCACCAATCGAAGGGCCATCTGGGCCGCTGAGGTAGCAGCCAGCCTATCCTCCTGTTTCATGTGAGTTAAGAGGAGTGCGGCATCAGTGTCCACAGGATCAGAAAGGTTGGCCAACTCGCCATCCCGCGCAATTAACGCTCCCGTAGAGAGGCACTCGAGGAGGCGACGAAAAAGGAGACCCATTCGCAGCCTTGCCGGTGCACCATGGTAGATGTCAGGTGGTGCGAGGTCCATGTACGAGAGTCGTTCCAGCAGCACCAACAAAACCTGCACCGAAGGTAAGCAAAATGGACTTTTACATCAATAATAATGAGTATCCATTAAAGTTCAATGGAAGAGAAGTAACCCAAATCTACTTTCTATTATCCAGTTAGGAAGATTCGGGCTTCGTGGGGAAAAGCACTTATCACGGTTAATTAGGTGACACTCTCAGAGCTTGTTGGGAATACTAGATGAAAGTGACGTGGAAATGACACTTTCAAGCCTATTTCCTGAATAGGGTTTCGAAAACATCACCTGTGCAGGTACTGTCAAGCTAAATATGACTGATTTCGACTACATGCTTCTAGGCAGCCTACCGAATAGTTTCATCTACTTGGACATATAGAGCGTCCATCCAACTCACTCAGCCACTGTAATGACTACTTGAAAAGTAAGGTAGAAACGCAAAAATTTCTTACACAAAAAATGCTTACATTCAAGTTTAATTTTGGGTTAAAACAACATGAATTTGGCGATAGATTAAGAGTAATGCATTAACCACTAACAAAATGTATGCGCGAGACATGCCAAACCGATTTTAAGTCGATGAAATTAACAGCCTAAAAGTCAAATTCAAAAATAATCTGGTCTTTATTTCGCGTACGTTTGTGCTGATAGTTAATGTGGGCAATTTTGGAAAAGAACTAATTGCTAGCTTGCCAGAATCTCCAAAATTCGTGATCAAAAGAAGAGCTTAAAACCAGTCATTCCATAGCCATTTAACTAAAAGTAGATAGGCGCAGCCTAACTGAATCGAAAATAACTCCAAATTACTACTTCAAGTAAGCGTAAATCGGTTACTAGGGTAAGCGACAAAGTGAAGTAGGTTAGTAAGAGAAAACTCAACGAAAAGCCTCAATTTTGTCCAGAAAAGCGGAAATAATATTTCTACTCTTCAGGGATACTTATTAGAACCTAGCAGAAGGAGTTGGTAATATGGAACTTGCATCGTGCCAATCTTGTAGGTAGATTTAAATTCAGTAATTTCGCATTCAATGACCCCGTAGTAAACAGGTGTTCCACAGTCACAGCCACCTACTTATAAGAATTCTGCAACACGAAAAATAGCCATCAATAATGGAAATGTCACTCACGTAATCAGGAAAGTGGCCCCATGAAAGCGGCTGTGAGTCACGAATGAGGCATCGCATCAATCGCGCAACATTCTGCAATACCGCCTTCGCTGGATGCGCCGCCATTGCGCCCTAGACAGTAGCAGAGAAAGAGGAAGCAGTCAAGCTTCCTCAAGATGGGCTGGGACGACAGTTACACGAAACAAACGAGAAAATGAAAAAAAGGATAAGATGGGTCTATGTGGATCTAAGAGAATACCTGAAGCCACAGTGCCCGTCTCATATCAGTAAGCGCGTCTCGGCAGACTCCTGGAGAGAGGCAGAGGAGCGCTTTGCTGAATTGAGTCTGCTCATCATCATCATCATCATGAGTACCTCCACTGCGGCTACCACTAACACTTCGACCAGTTGCAAAAGCAGCAGTAGCAGCAGCAGTGGTATGACCCTCATGATGATGATCATCAGCACCACTTTTAGGTTGCTTGAGTGCAGTCCCCACTAGACAGAAGGGAAAAAGGTGGTGCACAACTATGTTCCAATAAGAACAAAAGGTAGCGCGATGATGTTAGGAATCCCCAAGCAATTCGTTGATTTGATTGCTGACAGCATCGTCAACAGCATACCATTAGGTAAATATGAAATGCTTGATACTCCCTAGAAATTCGGATACTTTAAACAGATGAATTTGTTCGCCTTCGCATTCACCGCCTATCCAAACTAAAGCAACTAGGTCAGGAAATAAAATGGCAAATACACCCATCCACTCACCCATATCAAATCACATACCATCCAATTGCTACTTTATCAATTCAAGACAATGTAGATCGAGGGGGGTCCATTTTTATAATTTGTCAAGTTTGGTGATTAAGAGAGCTAAGGCCGGTGCTCAAATGAAATCAATAGTTGCAACGTAACAAGATCGTTTAAAAACGATAGCTTATTAAATTGAAATGAGTCGTTCCCATTTGATCTGACTTTCAGTTGGCACCATTAATCACGTCACTGTCAAAACAGGCCAATTAATTGAGGTAGATGAGGATATCCACTGAAAGTAGTGCCAATGATCGAGACGACGAATAGACCATGCAGTTGATCAGCCAGTCACCTGCACGAATAGTGGTATGATATGAAATATTTTAAACCAAATCGAACATTTCGTGTAGAATAAGAATCTAGTTGTACGCCTGCTTAAAGTCTTGGCGATAAAAGAAGTCCTCACCTTTGGTATTCAAAATGCTGGTCGAAGTGAGACGAAGTCGAACAGTCACCATGATATCCGTTGCACTGGGATTGTCCGCAGGTTTTGTTGATTTCAAAGTCATCTGGACTAGCACGTAGGTCCCTTCGACAGTTGCCACAGTGACTGAGTGATTCTTGCACGACTCCTGCGACAAAAATGGTAATATACCGTTGGATTCACACTGAAAGCAATTTATGGAACTGAAGGGGATACATGTTTTGGCCGACAAATTTACGAAACAGAACTGGGAATCGGTCAAGATGAATAGCCTTCTATACCGAAAAGCTGGTACCGCCACTACTATGTCGATGGTCTTTTAGTGTCGCATACCATTAAAGTCACTCTGCAATAGCCAGGAGGGCGTGAAGGAAGAAACAGGGACGGTGTCATTACTTGAATTAATATTTTGATGGATGACAGAGAAGGGAAGACCGGGCTAACGGTTCTATGCTACGATATTCACTGTGAAAGCGATCACTACAAGTAGTATTTGTATCGTCTGGTACAAGGAATGTCAGATTGCACTAGAAGCCCTCAGAGCTGCGGATAGGTGAGGTTGATATGCAGGAGAACAGAACTGATAAGTAGCCTATTTGAGAGGCAGCTATTACAAAATTAGCGATGGTATCAATAGCATGTTCACCGTTTTACCATAACGATCCCGATTTCGACTATATGTGTGCAGTTATATAGGTAGTCTTAGGCTCACCCGAATCCGTCTTCATGACGGTGATATGGAGATCTGCCACTCTTTTCATATCAACAAATTTACCTCCACACTTGTGAGCCTCACCACGGCCCACAGGTGACCCGGCCGCAACACTGGTGTCAGTGTAGCGGGATAAGCATAATACGTTCTTTGGAAGAATACATCCAGCTTTGACGATGCTTCAGAGAAGATTAAATCAATCCACTCAAGTGGAATGATTATTATTAAAGGAAAACGCTTGCTCCAGGTTGCTAAATCAATAAAAATCCATAACAACGAAACTAAAATCGGTCCCAACCATCCTCATATTACAAGGAACGGGAAATAACTGAATAAGGCGACCGCGCAGCATGATGGTGGCAAAGATGAAAGAGATTAAAATCAAAAGGAAACTCCTAGAATCTGCCCAATAGTTATAAAGTAATCGACTAAATGTATTTGATAATAAGGCGAATGTTTTCTCAAAATACAGTGAGCATTTGACGGGTGGTCGCTGTAAAACGTCGTTCAGCATAACGGGATGCTTTCCAAATAAAACTCATCAAAAACCACAAGGATAATCACCACATTTGTAAAATTTGAAGTTCACCCCCACCATCGCTCACAGATAAGAGTCCAAAGGTGAAGTAACTCAGGCAGGAAAGTAAGGCTAGTAGTAGTTAAATAAAACCCCTCCTGCTGATACAATTCCAATTCAAATAAATGTGCTTCAATTTGAGTTCAATGTAATTACTAGACGAGAATGACACATTCCAAGTACTCTTACTGTGCGAGAGAATTCAGTCTTTGAAATGGCCTATAAAATCAATCCCTCTATCTATTTACAGGAGTTAAAACTAAACAGACATCCGTATAATTAAAGGTAAAATCAAGGACTCTTCTTATTGTGGTTTAACTTCATCATTGTGTCACCGTCTGCAGTCCTGCATCGTGCTGGATAATTTCAATTCGCCCGAAAACTACCAATGCAATGATAACTCTGGACATGAAACCGTCCAGGTAGTTGGCCGAAAGAGTCTCACATATCCAGCTAAGCAGACACTTCGGTCTACATGGATTCGTAATGGTGTCAGAACCTTCCACTCATGCCTATGCACGCCTAACCCCTCTCTACAATAATACTCAACCCTCTGTCGTTGTGTTTTCAGAAATGAATTGGAGCGCTAGAACAGATCCTGATCTCATAGGGTGGTTAGCAAACATATACGCTACAGTAGAAATGTACCTGCTGCAGATGGGTGGATCACGGGAGAATCACTATAGACGGATTGAAATGGTTTCGAATTCGGTAAGCTTCCAATTTAGAGCGCTGTACGATGCCTACTCATGGGAATCAGATTTTAACGAAGACATACCTTTATGTGCCTGCGAACACGGCGATATATATCCCAGTCCGAAACCACGATACTGCTCTTCCTCGTGCTGTTTTTGTGCAAAAAATACAACGTTGAGTAGTTAGCATTGGATGTGCCGCCCGGACAATATCGTCCAGCTTTTAGCATAGTATCCCAAAACGAACTTCCCCCTAGACAGTCAGCCCTGCATAGGGTGCAAAACTCAGGAATCCCAACCAAATCTACATCATATACTGCTATCAAGAGTTTGCAGTCCTTCTATGGTACGAATTCATAGCATTACAGGCGTTCCTGATTTGCTCTTGAGTAAAATTCCAGAGAAGATTCGTTATGAGCAAAGGCAAAGAGAGATCACGAGAAATGAGAATGCATGATTAAAAAGACCTCACAAGATTCCTCAAAGCCCCAAATGAAGTAGCAAAGGGCCGACTGCCTACAGATAAAAAAGTATAGGTAGCGCAAACAGGACAAAAGGTAAGAATAGAGATATGCAAGTTTCCTCGTAGTGCATAAAAAAACCTACTACAATTGTCTCAAGTCAAGATATTAGGCAAATTAAAAGATAGATTGGGTGATTCAAACATTCTGTGTACTAGTCAAAAGTACTACTTTTCGCAATTTAAAAACATGATTTGCATATGAAACGTAGCAAAATTGATTTTGGTTCCAAAAAAAACAATGGATAAAGAAGGAACAAATACCAGGATTCCGACGATTTGAAAACAAACACTTAAACAGTGCACGGGCATAGTATCGAAAGGTGCAGTAATTCACTAGCTCCGAAGAGTTCACGTTCAGCTAGCTTTAAATGCTACCTGACCTCAGTTTTTCATAAGAAATTGGGATTCAATAACATTTTCTAATTTTAGACCGCTCCTCAATCTCCTGCTTTATTAACCAGCAGCTTCAATAGAATAAAAAACCTGATCAATAGACCGCAAATTTAGTAAGAGGATCGGTTTGAAACTACCCAACGCCTGCCTGCAATTCAATTAAATTGGTTGAGACTAAATTGGTTTATCAGTTTTGATAGGTTAAAAGCGGAAGAAACTTTACACCATGTCCAATTCACCAATTTCCAAGAAGGGACCCAATACCATTGTTTGGTATCCTACTTTACAGCAGCAAAAAATTGTGAACAGTAAGGCCCTTAAACTTTGAGTAGAATATTTTAAATTCACTAACTTCCAGTGGCGATTCAGTGAATCACTGGAGGCATTGATATTCTGTAAGAAACACCGTTTGATGGTTTGTGATGCTCAACAACCTATAATCCTCCAAAGGTTCATTCTAAATAAATATCAAGCTAGATTTGCGAAAGCTTCAACAAAATCGATAGCAAACACTGGAATGAAAACGATAAATTACGGAAGGACGGAATGATGTAATTGAAATAGGAAAATTGACGAGTAGAGAAATGAGTGAACGAATGCATTCTGAGTGAATGAATAGGTAAGGAGATGAATTGCTGAATGCGAAACAGATTGATCTGAAATGGATGATTTGATGGATTTATCGACAAAAGAATTGTCGAATAATAAATTTAGTTGAGGAGCAGTTGGATGGATTGATAGGCTTGGAACAGATAGACGAATCAGGAACGGATAAACTAACGTAACCATGAGTTCCCTTAAGCCTCAACTATATCGACTTTATCAACCACCCACTTTCAACAATTCCTCCAACTCTTCAGCCACCTCAGCAACACAATCCATAGAGGGAAGTTCATGCGAGACCAGGACCATATCAGCAGTTCGTTGGCCACCCAGTAGCAGACCAACAGCGGCAGCGCCGACTATGAAGACACCGGTGGGTTCCGAAGCATTCATATATTCAATGTCGCTGGAACTGTTGCTGATATCAGCGTCATCTCCGCGGGCCTTCAAGATGCGTCTTAGGGCATCAGAGATTGAGTGGATGGCCAGCGTCATCAGCTGAATAGGTAGATAGGAGGAGAAATAGGGGGGTAGAAAGCAAATATTCTGCTCTTTGGGTGATGGATTAAACGTTGGCATCTTTTCGATCCTATGTGCTTTCAGCACAATCCCATATTTTTGGATACTGCAGTGCTAAAATAATCCTAAAGTGGTTACAAAAAGCAGGAGTCAGAAATAATCCTTACTATTAGCATACACAAGAGCTGAACCAGTGGTAGCATAAGTGCGACATGGGTGCAACTACATGCCACCAGACCAAAGGCAAAATCAACGGAGAATTTGAGTATTAACCTTGACAGGCCATGTATTTACCCTCTTGCGTCGACCATTGCAGCAGTACTCAACAACGAGAGTTCTTGAAGTCAAACCATGGTGGCGACACC